GTCACCTGGTGTCCCATCCCTCAAGCACCGCAGCAGCACCCCCAGTTCACATATGAATGGCTTGGGCCCACTGAGTGGAGGTGGAGTTCAATCAGATGGCCAAAGCAGAGAGCGTGAAAGAGAAAGGGAGTCAGAAAAGAGACAACATTCTGCATCCAGGGCACCAGTGTCCGCTTCCTCCGCAGCACCAGACAGACCTCGATCTTCAACATCTATTCTCACAACCTCTCCTTCTAACGTTCCCTTAGCCCCCTCTCCTTTGGATCGATTTCACCGACAGCCACCACACACACTCAGCACAGAATCCAGCCATTCATCGCAAAGAGAGAATAGTGGTCCAGCCTCTTCTAGTTCACTACCAGTCAAGAAATCTGATCGTACCACAACTCCGGTATCGAAACCTACACATGGTCTAACCTCTGGGTTGCTCCTTCCCCAAGTCAAGGTCAAGGAAGAGCGTAAAGAGGAGCCTGAGCCAGTGCCCATCTCCTTACCTCCACACAACTTTGAACGGCCTAATAGTCGGCACCCACCCCATCCATCAACCCCTTCCTCAACCCACTCATTGACACCTACACCTGGCATGCCTCTTCCTCCACCAACTCCGCACCCTCCCCACCATCATCTGTCCCTCTTAGATCGTACGCGGGCTATTGATCCCTATCTTGGTGGTGCTGGAGGCTCAGCCGGACTGGTATTAGGTACTGCAGCTGATCGTTTCCCACCACATCCACATGGTCCTCCACATGGTCATTCCCAAGCCACTCACAGCTTTCCCTGGGACCCTTGGAGGGATCTGGCCGCTCAACATCAGCAACGCAGGGAAATATTGACTCTGAGGTCAGATCCCCACCTTGCACTTCGCTCTGATCCACACTTGTCTAGATTTCTCCAGCATCAGCAGGTACAGCGTTATTTGGAGGCAGCTGTGGCAACCAGCCCTCACCATCCACCAGTACCTACCTCTACGTCCTCTGCTTCATCCGCAGCAGGCAGGCCAGAGTTCCGTTTGATGTCTCACGCGTTTGATGAGGAACAACGTGCTCAGATACTGCGGGAAGACTTGGAAAGAGCGCGGTACTTTGGAATGCATCCACACCTGTCCGCACCTCACCTTCCTAGCCCGTCTCATGCTGCCCACCTAGAACAGCTTCATGCAGGGCTGCTATCCCACTCTCATCTCCAAGCAGCTGGAGCATCTGCACAAGCATCACATCACCCTGGCCTTTACTCTAGACTGGGACCTCTGCATCACTCTCACGTACATAATGGCATTCTAACAAAGACACCAGGTCTAGTTGGGGCGTTGTCTGTTGGGGCTCCACCACCTCTCATTTCATCTGTGAACAGATCTTCTACTCCACCCCGTGGCCACAGACTTGGACTTGGCCCAGCAGGGGACTTGGCCCTTTTTACCACACATAAAGACGGCGAGTCCAGATAGTACTAGGTAAAGCTCAAGGAGCTTCCAGAACTGCTGTGCTGAAGAAACTGCTCCTTAAACGGCAAGAATTTGCAGGACACTCAAAAAGAGCTAAGCTTCAGTGACCATACACAAGTGTTGAAACAACCTGGGGAGAGAACAGAGATACTTCCCAGGGCTGTTTGATATACTTGATATCCACTGTGGTTAAGTTGGTGCAATTAAGGTTCTCTTTTGCTGTGCCCTGGTTTTCATGTAGGGTTTTCTTTACAAAGAGGCCCGTGGATGTTAAAAGACTTCATTACTACCAATATGAAGACAGGTTGTGTTGAAGAGTGATGGATCAAAAATTGTGAACTTGTTTGTATTGGTGAACTTAAGGAAAACCTACTGTTGAGTCATCAGCTTTGCATTTGAAGGAGAAATCGGACATCTGCTTAAGTAGTCAAGTATTTCTCGTTGTCTGAATCAGCACTGTTGGGAACACATGGTCCACATTCTGCTTTAAATATTCAAGTCATCCATCAGAAAACTTCCATGAACATCAGAATGAACTTCTTAAGATTTATTTTATTCTTTAAAAAAGTTATGAACTGTACATCTTGTTGGATAATATTTTAAAATTCAAAGGGAAATAACTGTCTCCCAATCATTAGTCTGACTCATTACAAGAGCTGGGCCAGAATATAGTAGAATAGAGATATTGCTTTTGTAATAATTATTGTTAACATTACCTTCCATAATAAATATATTCACTGTTTGTTATAATGTCATGTTTCAGGTCTCACCAAATGCACTCACTTGTTGAAATGAGTCGGTGATAATTATTGTCCAGCAAACCACTACCGTGATATTGCTCCAATATACTGGTTATGGTAAAGCCTGTGTACTGAGGATGTATCAAAGCCAGCCTCTATGGTTCAGAAAACTGAACATCTTCATACTTTGGGGGAGGTGTGTGTGTTATTTCTATGTTTTCCACAGTTGAAGCAAATGGAAGTCTCCAACAACCATCATTCAAACACACAGAGCGAAATGAGGCATTTGTGGACTGAAAAAAATCTTGTACTTACAGATAAACTATTGGATTAGAAAGACTCTGGAGATACAGGACATTCTGGATTAAATATTTGAGCATAACAATTTTATACATTTTAAATATGTCCCTCTCCCCTTGAAAAGAAAACCACAAAGATGAATTAATTATTAAAAATGGTTGGTTATTTACATGTGTGGTAGTGTATTGATTCATTGTGTATATTTAGATGGTGTGTTACTGTCATTTCTCAATTTCAGAGCCAAATTGTGACCTATCTAGGCTTATATCTGGACTTTGCATATTTTATTTTACGTAATATATGTGCAAAAAATATCTTATACTTAATTGTTACTATAAGCCATGAGAGCAAAAATTGTATCTCGGGTCATAAACATCTATCGAGACAGTTTTAATCTAAAATTAGTGAATTGTCATATCAGTAAGTTGTAGCTTGTCGTCAAACTGCTGCCAGCTACAGTGAGATACTCTTAAACTCTAGTTTGAAAATTCATATATCTCTAAAGTTACGTGCGAACAAGTCATGGTTTTGCTTGATAATTATGTAATATATGTGCAAAAAATATCTTATACTTAATTGTTACTATAAGCCATGAGAGCAAAAATTGTATCTCGGGTCATAAACATCTATCGAGACAGTTTTAATCTAAAATTAGTGAATTGTCATATCAGTAAGTTGTAGCTTGTCGTCAAACTGCTGCCAGCTACACAGTGAGATACTCTTAAACTCTAGTTTGAAAATTCATATATTTCTAAAGTTACGTGCGAACAAGTCATGGTTTTGCTTGATAATTACGTTTAATAAATAAATCTAAACACGAATTTTCAGCAACGGCTGAGACCTGTGCTGCAGAAACTCAGAAGCCTGCGCGCGCTGAAGCACGTCTCGCGAGATGTCTGTTCGCTCCGCAACTTGGTCAGCAGTCGTTCGTTCCTCCATTTCGCTGCGTCGAAAGTCTCCTCCCCGCAACCGCTAGATTCAGCGATTCCGGACCCAGTCTCTCTCGGATCGTTCTTTGACTTGAGCCTGCGAACCTGCCAGTACCTCACTGGGTACCGAGAGGCAGTTTGGAAAAGTCTCAACACGGATTGAGTACGATTTGAAGCGGATGGCGACTCCTTCAGCGAGAATTTAGTAAAAGAAAAGTGCTCGGAAATTTCAGGTAGGTGGGAACTTAAGATGGCGGTGGTGAGAGGAGGGGGGAATGCTGGGGAGGAAGTGATGGGAGGGGAGGAGGAGGGAATTGACATGGCGGGACAAGCTGACTTTCAAGCAATCGGGTGCTGAAAGTATTTATCGGGTTTGTAAGGTTGCACAGTACGGCCTTCATTGAGCTGACTTGATTGGATCAACAGCGCATTTCATGTTTGTTATCTACTTTTGGTGCAACATAAAGAATTGCTCCCAAAACCTGAGCAAATCTGATGGGTTCTGATTTCTTGGTACTGCACTTTTGAGGCAGCGAGCTGAAAACGAAAGTGTCGTGTCACTGCAAGTGAAACAACAACCAAGTTATCATTTTTGTGCGTTACTTTAGCCTCCGGTGTGTTTAATGTGAGCGCTTTTCATATAACATTCCGAATTAACAAATGTATTACTAAAATAATGAAGATTCGCGAATCTAACAAAACCTGAGCAAATCTGATGGGTTCTGATTTCTTGGTACTGCACACTTTTGAGGCAGCGAGCTGAAAACGAAAGTGTCGTGTCACTGCAAGTGAAACAACAACCAAGTTATCATTTTTGTGCGTTACTTTAGCCTCCGGTGTGTTTAATGTGAGCGCTTTTCATATAACATTCCGAATTAACAAATGTATTACTAAAATAATGAAGATTCGCGAATCTAGAATATACAACGTACCACAGAACAGCCTGTAGATTTGTTGACTGGACGTTAGTGGATGGAAAGTCCAACTCATTTGTGTGTATCGGTTCTTTCGAATCAAAAACCCGGTTTGAGAACCGATTCAGTGAATCTTTGTCATCCAGTGGTCCCATCTCGGCGTGGCATATTACGTGCTGTAAAACTTGAGTGAAAGTTGCATGCAGACACATATTGCTGTTAATTTCCTTTTTATATTACATTATATTAATACGTTTATTTTATTGTAATTTTATGTAGCCTAATGTGTAATGTCAAGGCATTTGGAGCCCAAATATAAACAGCATACATCAGTACGATAAAGCACTACATATATCTTGCCAGTTTTACAAAGTTTATAATACAATCATAAGATATCATTTATTAAAAGAGCAACTGTTTCGTATACTTTCAGTTAGAAAAGATCCGACTCGGCATCTGGCGTTTCTGTGTAGCTTGACCCCGCGCGGTGACGTCAAGAGGTCGCTTCTGTAAAGGGTGTAAAAGAAAATGACAAGTACTACGTTTATGTTTAGTGACAAGTCTTTAAAACCCCTCGATATGGATTATAATGAATAATAGTTTGTTCTTGATCATTGCACAACTTCTTATGGAAGCCGAGGTGTGCACGCGCGCTCTTTGCCCGAGCGGTGTGTGTTCAGCGCGCGCCTGAGACGGTGTGTGTAACGTTATTTATGTATATGTCAGTGTGTTTGTCTGAGTCAGAAAATTATATAATAACAGACGCCCTCTCACGAACTATTACACAGAACAGTTTAGGACTGTAGCTCCCTGTCTTTTAAGCGCCAACAACAAAAACGAAACGTTATCGTGTCGGCTCCATTGTAACGTCTGTGAGCTATTAGCTTTGCCTAGCCTGCTAAAGGCCCATGTGTGTTCGCCCGCCTCATGCATACAGAACTGCCGGCTCCATTTGTTATCCGTATTCGGTATTAAACGTCAACCGCCATCCTATCTTCTTAAGTTTATAAGCAGTCGTAGGAGAATAACGTCCGATTCAGCGGTAAGTCATCGCTAAAGGCTAGCCGAACGTGAAGCGCCCGCACTGTTGTAACTATAAGTTACTGAATGAGACTAATGTTAATTGTCCTGCTGTACAGCATTTTTATTTTTAACATTTAAGTAACAAGGTGTGCAGTTAATGTTCCAGTAAAACACGACACTATTTTCTTCATATATGCTCTAGTCTATGCATTCCTTTAGTATAGAAGCCGGCTGTTTGGAAGATTTAATAGTAGCTCAACGTTCTAATGAATTTACTGTGTTGCTAAACGAAAGTTTTCTTCGTAACTTTGTAGATCCAGTCCATGAGAAACGCTCTTTTTACTTGTGTTTGCTCTGAATTGTTAGGCTGCTCTTGCATTTTAACCACTGACTACGTATAGCAGAAGAGTTTTGAGGAATTCACATAGTCCTGCTGCAGCTTATTCGTCTATATCAGGGGTAGGCAAGTTCGATCCTAGAGAGCCGCAGAGTTCAGCTCCAACCCTAATCAGACACACCTGAACAAGCTAATCAACGTCTTCAGGATTACTAAGGCTATAGGCAGGTGAGTTTTTTTTTTTCAGGGTTGGAGCTGAACTCTGCAGGACTGCGGCTCTCTAGGACCGAACTTGCCTACCCCTGGTCTATACCTTGCATTCTAAGAAAGCACTTTTTCCCCCTCATATGTCGGATCATGCTCTTGCTGTTTCTTTAGGATTTTAGGTTTGATTTTACAAATAGATGATCTAATGCATGAAATTTACTCCAATTGTTTATCTTTAGATCCTCAGATGCAGCTGTACCCTTGATCTCAGCATCCTGGAAGTGGAAATCACGGAAGAGACTGGTGCTTCATCACATACAGGTATTTATTTAATCATTCCATTTAAGTTATATGTTGACCCGATCGTAATCCGTGGCTGGTGTACAGTTACACAATTTCTGTGGAATAGTAATGTCTGTTACTCATAAAATTCTTACATTTTCCACCCCTTGCTTCTCTGGCTAATTCTGTAATGCTTTCAGATGCTAGTGAGAGTGCTGTTGTATCAGCTTCGATGTTTAAATACTTCCTGAAAATTTTTATTGTTTATACGTTCATCTAAACATTTGTGTCATGTATTTGTGCATTTTGTAAAGGGTTAGTCACGCCACATCTCACTTCTGTTCTTTCAGGTTTAGTGTGTAGCAGTGCCGGTTCTAAAGCAGGACAGTTTGGGGAAGAGGCGGTGCAGCAGCGCACCTGTCCGGCAGTGGCTGTGCTGGGTGGCACCGCCGTGGTTGCGCAGAATGTGGCCCGGCCTCCCCAGCATGCCCTGCAGCCAGTCACAGCTGCCACTCTACCACCATCATCGGTTGATGTCGCCACTGGATCGCAGCAGAAAGGAGACTCAAAGGCTGCATGTAAAGAACAGACCATCGCTTACGTTCAAAGAAACAGCGGCACCGAGGAATCAGCGGAGATATCAGCTGCCCAAAGAGGACTGGTGTCAGCTACTGCTGAAGACACACAAAACCTTACAGACACATTGGAGGGTCAGACTCCCCCAGACAGACTTTTTGAGAGAGGGACAGATTTCCTTTACGGGTGTAACACAGAGCAAGCAAGCCTTGCATACAGGGAGACCGATATGGCGGAAGGATCCGGCACAGGCCGCTGCCAAGATTGGATCCAACCCCCTGGAGATGCAGGGGGTGTCTCTACCTCTATTGAGACAGAAAAGGGACCCTTGCCTCCAGAAACAATCAAATTGGACTACAAGAACATGTCTGGAAAGCACGCACCTGAAGAAAGCCCCTGTGTCCCAACAACAAAAGTCATCCCAGCAGTCTCAAGTGCAGTTAAGACAACACGCAGAGACATGGAGCAGCCCCAAACAACTGCCCTTTTTCAGACAAATCAGACTGCCACATCTTCTGTGTTTGGCATCCCACAGAAACAAAGTACGACAAATTCAGCAAAGCAGGATTGTAAACTTGACTCTAAGGAGGCTATGGAAGTTGTCACGCAAGATCTGGCTAAAACAGACAAAGGAGCAGTTAGTCCAATTAGACAAACCTTGGGAACAAAACAAGGTAATAGTGGAAATTCCCTTTGCTCAGGATATGCATCATTAAAACAAGGAGGGGAGCACATTACCCTCATCAGTGGAAATAGCATGCCAAATGACCCTGATAAGGGCAGCTGTTATCCCCCGGAGGACTGCAGTAAAACACAAAAGGCTTCACAAAGGACAAAAACACCTGGTGTGCCCACCCCGCCGGAGAATACACAGTGTGTGCAAGAGCTAAGCTCTCCGTATGTAAGTTTAAGTGAAACCCCCAAAATGTTTCACTTGGGTAAAGAGACTAGTGCAAAGGAGGGGCAAGGAAACGAGAAAGTCCCTGTAGCTGGTCATCTGTGTTTTAATGTGGCTGCTAAAGAAGTATTTCGCAACATTTCTGTTGATGAACCAAAACTGTCAGGGCATGGGACATGCACTGACAATGTACAGGTGAATGAAAGATCACAAGTCATGGTTTGCGGCTCTTCTGATGTGATTTTGAAGCAGAATGACAGTGCCAATCGAATAGAAATATCCATGTCTTCAAATCACCATCAGGATGGGAGCGTGCTGCTCACACACACGGAGAACTGTGTGACTTTAGAGGGGCTAGAATCAGATCAGCCAAATCTTTCTGACTGTATGGTCCAACATGTACAAGAGTCCCTTCCAGCTGATCATAAACTCTCACAGATTCAGATATGCCTGAATGATACTGCAGGTGTCATGAATGTGGAAGAGAGGCAGGAAGTGAGTGCAGAGGCTCTCAGTGCTGTTGAGGTGAAAGATTTGATCGATGTAGGTATTTTAATGCAGCCAGATATGGAGGATACCTGGCTGGTTGTAAGCGAAATAGATGGGCAGTCTGAGCATACAGAGATGGAGGTCAGCGAGGAGTCTCTGGTGCAGTGCCCTGAATCCCAGTCAACTGTTGCTGTATATGAATGCACTGTGCCCTGCTTTACATCAGGTGCCCTTCACGGTGATGTTAAGCTGCTGTTAACTGACAAAGAAGAGGAGAAACCAATGGAAACATTGATGCAAGACTTGCAAGCCCAGAGTAATCTAGGGAATCAGACCTCATCTTGTCCTGATGCACTCAAACCCACAGAAGAGTTACTTACCATGCCCTCTACGCAAAAAGAAGAATCTATAATTGTCAAGCAAAATGATGATTCAAGTCAGACTGATCTTGCAAACACGTTGACAGGGTTAACATGCACGGTGATGGACGTCACACTTGACTCTGTGCGAGAACAGCAAGAATCTGGTGTGGTGGAAAACACACCAGGTGTGTCATTAATTTCATTGTCTTGTGGCACGATTGATCCAAAGCTACTGATCTTAAAGAAGGCTGACAGCCCTGCCCTTAAGCAACCTTCTTCCCTGTCTGCTAGGATCTCAACCAAGCAGAACTCACCTGTCCTGGCTGGATCACCCAGTGATGGATTAAATAAAGCTTCAGAGTGCCTTGCTAAAACTTATACAGCTGCATCCTCCACCATAAAGGAGGATGCTATGTTGCCTGCTGACCGCCCTGTCTCAAACACTCTCTCTCAGTTCTCTCGGACTGTTTCCAATTCTAATGTACTTTCACAGAACAGCTCTGAGAAAGAAAACTTAAATAAATTAAATAGTTCTGACAAGTTGCTTCAAAACAAATCCTCTGCTAACACTTCATCAACTTCAGTACAACTCCATAACTCACAAAGCCACCTTCCTCCTCCTGCTGGAGATGTGTGGGGTACTGTATCCAGTGTTGTCCCAGAGGGGAATCGGTGTAAACAGTCTTTGGCTGGTACACCATGCCAGGATTCAATGTCTTTGGGGGGTGATCTGGAGCTGGAGCAGCAACAGTTACCGGATGAACTTTTGTCAACAACGCAGGATGCTCAAAACACCATCCTGGAGCCACTTGACGCTTCTATAGAAGAGAGCAGCGATGGAGAGGTTGACAGCTCAATGGAGGTCCAGAATGAGGATAGCAATGCTACGCCCAGTCCAGCAGCGAACAAGGTAAAAGCAAATAAACTATTAACTGACCTATTATGACTTTAACCATGATGAAGCAGTGATTTAATTTGTTGTATTTGATGTACATGTTTAGTCACAATGAAAGCATCAGAAGTAGTCAGCAAAAGTGTATTTATAATTCAGATGTTTTTGAGCCTGTGTACACTATCCATAACCGTTTTAAAGCCACGATCTGATGCTAGTGCACTTCTTGGCTGTATATTGAGCCATGTGTGTTTTCCAGCGTGGGCAGAGCAGGACAGACAAACAAGGCTTGTTATTGAAGGTAAGAGGTGTCAGGCATCCTTCAGATCTGATCATTGCAAGCTGATGCAATGATTCTGCTTCTTCCAACTAGTGGTTGACCGATATGGGTTTTTGTAATGGCAAATACTGTCATCTAGAAAGTGGGGTACCCAATAAAAATTCTGGTATGTAGGCTAAGAAAATGCATTTTTAACTAATATGCGGACACTGAAGTGAACACTTATTTTACCCAATATTTAAATTCACAAAAAGTGGGAAAGTAAAACTTGTGTTCAGTAAGCCAGGCTGGCATGGTTTTTGGTAAATGCCAAAAATCTAAAAAATACCATTTTATTGACCTGGAATATATATATATCGGTCTATCACTGCTTCAACTCACTAGTTTAAAAAAATCCTGTTTTTTGTTGTTGTTTTTTTTACAAGTATAAATCTACAGGAAAACAGAGCTGAGTGTATGAAACTATTTCATCTTCTATCATCTTTCTATCATTCAGAGTAGCATGTATTATTTAGCAATTAGGAGAGAGGCTATTAGATGTTTGCTCACCAAGATGTCCTTGTAGACCAGGCTGTTTTTATGAAGCTCTTTTATCTCTTCTTGGGCACTCTATCTCTTTTTGTACTCCATGCTGAATAATATTGTGCAGTTACGCAGTCAGACACACTGTTTTATTTGTCTTTCCCAAGGTTTGCCAGTGGATTGCAGGCAAGGTTACAGCAGTCTCTACCTCTTCCACCTCCCCTGTTCCATGTCCATCTCCCTCATCTGGTGACTGGATGCGTTCTCACACAGGCAGGGCCTCACCAGTACGCAACTCTCATGGCAGAAACATGCCCTCCACTTCGTCCCAGGGTTATGTTGGCTGTTCTCAGTCAGAGCAAACAACCACACTGAAATCCACGCCAAAGCATACAGATATGGCAGAACTGGCAAAACATGTAAGAGAAGGACACATTAAAACGTTTACTTTCAGAAATACAGTGATATAATGGTTATAAGTGGATGTTTATTCTTGTATTTTATTTATTTTATTTTTATTAACAAATTTATTTTGTACTTTTAACAGGAAGCAGAAATAGAACATCGTACCCTTGCACTAAAACGTGAAGGTTTCTGGTCCCTAAAACGTCTGTCTCGTATAACCGAACCAGTACGGCCCAAAGTGCATTGGGATTACCTCTGTGAGGAAATGCAGTGGCTCTCTGCAGATTTTGCACAAGAGAGGCGATGGAAAAGAGGTGTGGCCCGAAAGGTAAGAAACGGTACATTCATACTGTCCTGTTTGAAACGTGCTATTTTTTTATGTTGTGATAATAGAGCATCTATCTCACCAATCTGAACTCATTTTCAGGTAGTACGGATGGTGATGCGCCACCATGAGGAGCTGAGACAGAAGGAAGAGAGAGCAAAACGAGAGGAGCAGGCCAAACTGAGAAGAGTTGCTTCTTCTATTGCCAAGGAGGTCCGTTCCTTCTGGAGCAGCGTCGAGAAGGTGACTTTCAGTGAATTTTGTTTATTTATTTATTTATATTTATTTATATTTTGGGATGAAACCTTTATTGTATTAAAAACTTTCAATGATTCATACTTTAAACTCTTTCCCGTCCATTGCTGTACACAGGTAGTCCAGTATAAACAACAGTCCAGACTGGAAGAGAAGCGGAAGAAGGCTCTAGATCTTCAGCTGGATTTCATCGTGGGTCAGACAGAGCGTTACTCGGACATGTTAAGTCAGTCCCTGCAGGCTGCTCCTGTACACAGTTCAGACACTGCAGCTGTCTCCAAACAATCACAGCTAAATACTGTTGATGAAGATGGTGAGGACTGACTTTACTTTTACTGTTTTAAAATTAGGGCTGAACAATTAATCGAAATCGAACTGAAATTGCGATTTGGCTTGATGCGATTATTGAATCACAAAGGCTGATTTTTTTATTAAAATAAATATATGCACAGCGCCAGTAGTAAATGCTGCTCATCTCTGCAAGCTTAAGCTGTGCAGAAAGCTGTGATTGTCATTCGCATCTTGTCAGGGAAGCACAGTTCTGTGATCAGTAGTAAATCTCCATCCGAAGGCCAGAGGGTGCTCTCACGCGGAAACTCCAAATATGCCCCGCATAAACAGAAGATTTAACTGCTTTCATTAAGGCCTCATCCACACGGAGACGCATTTAGCTGTATACACATAAATTTTGTATCGTTTAGGTGTTTCATCCAGACGGATCCGGCGTTTTGGGAGAGTGAAACCGATATTTTTCTAAACCGGGTCCCAGAGTGGATAAATCTGAAAACGCCGCCCTTGCGTTTTCGTGTGAACAGTGAATCCGTATATTTTCTGAAACGATGGCGTCATCAGCCCACGTCTCGCCCCAAGTCAGACACTGCTACGTCACGTACATAAATGTATTGTTCCATGTTCGTTTGTATATCGCGTGCAAGGTTTATGTGCATAGTCCAAGTCTTCTCCGTTTTTAGTGTATCTCTGTGGCAGAATTGCAGCGCCACATGCTGGTCTGACATGTATACTACATCGTTTTGTGTCGGTTTCGTGAGGATGCAAATATTTCTTGAGAGGAGGTGAAAAAAAAGATTGGATAGGGAAAGCTCTGGCTTAGTGTGGACGTAGCCTAATTCAACGTGACCAATAGGGTTTGGCTGCAGACATGCACTTACACTCTCAGATACCTGTGCTTCCGCAAGTGACGTCACTTTCAACCTTTTTTTTAAATTAAAAAATATATATTTTTTTTTACATTGAATCTCTCAACATTTTACAACAGTAACCAGGTGGTGAAGACAAGAAAAAAAGAAACAAAATTACAATGTCACTTGCAATCGCCACCTGCACTCTTCGTTACCTGCGACATCATTTGCAATCAACTCAAATGGTGCGTGTTGCCAATGGAGACGAGACGCTGTGGTGGTTAAACGATTAAAACTAATTTAGTACCATAACATACAGGGTCCTGCCAAGTCACCTGTTGGAGAAAAAGACAAGACACGCAAATCCGTGGCCACAGAACAGCAGGATATGAACACAATACGCGAAGTCTATCGTTAAGCGTTATTCGCTTTTTTTTTTTTAAAGCATGACTTAAGTATCCACATACCATGGGGCCATTTTGTATACAGTCTTGGCCAAAGGTTTTGGCAGTGACAAATTTTCTTTTGCAAAGTTTGCAGCTTAAGATGTTGTGGTTCGTTCACATTGTTTCTAGATTATTGTGTAGCGTGATCAGATGCATTTAAAATAATTGCTAAAAGCTTCGTTGGCCAAAAAAATTTACATTTTCATTAAAAAAACATTTTTCACTCTTTTTTTTTATCCTGACACAAAATGACCAGCTAACATTAATTGACTAATTATATCAGCAGCACGTGTGAAAGTCTGAATAAGTACTAGTCAGGTTAATCACTATCATACTAAGTAGATTGTAAGGGCAGACTGATTGCTATAAAAGGAGGGAAGAAGCACTTCCAATCATTGTGTTCTTGTTAGCAATGGTTACCTCCAAAGAAACATGTGCAGCCATCATCACTTTGCATCAAAATGGCCTCACATGCAAGCAAATTGCTACAAAGAATATTGCACCTGAAAGAACCATTTACCGGATCATCAAGAACTTCAAGGAGAGAGGTTCGACTGCAGTGAAGAAGTCTTCAGGACGTCCCAGAGTGTCCAGCAAGCGCCAGGACCGTCTCCTCCTGAGGAGTCAGCTACGGAATCGTGTCACCAGCAGTGCAGAGCTTGCTCAGGAATGGCAGCAGGTTGGTGTGAGAGCATCTGCACGCACAGCGAGGCCAAGACTTTTGGACACCGGCCTGGTGTCAAGAAGGGCAGCAAAGAAGCCACTTTTCTCCAAGAAAAACGTCAAGGACAGACTGAAATTCTGCAGGAAGTACAAGGATTGGACAGCAGAAGACTGGTGCAAAGTTAATTTCTCTGATGAAGCTCCCTTCCGACTCTTTGGGACATCTGGAAAATCTATTGTTCGGAGAAGAAAAGGTGAACGCTACCATGAGTCCTGTGTTGTGCCAACAGTGAAGCATCCTGAGACCATCCATGTGTGGGGTTGCCTTTCAACCAAGGGAGTGGGCTCTTATAATTCTGCCCAAAAACGTTTTCAAGAATAAAGAATGGTATCAAAACGTCCTGCAAGAGCAACTTCTTCCAACGATCCATGAGCAATTTGGTCTGTGATCTGTGCATTTTCCAGCATGATGGAGAACCTTGTCACAAAGCAAGAGTGATAAAGAAGTGGCTGGATCCGTGGCCAGGCAACTCCCCAGATTTTAATCTCATAGAGAACCTGTGGTCAGTCCTCACAAGTCGAGTGGACAAGCAGAAGCCCACAAATTATCAACTCCGAGAACTAATAAGGCAAGAATGGATCGGCGTCAGTCAGGATTTGGCCCAGAAGCTAATATCCAGCATGCCAGAGCGAATTGCAGAGGTTATGAAGTACAATGGTCAACACTGTAAATATTGACTCATTATATTTTTTTGCCAATAAAAGCCTTTAAAACTTATGATATTCTTATCATTGTTTTTCAGTATACCATAGAAACATGTGGAAAAATAATATACAAATACTGAAGCAGCAAACTTTGCAAAACACAAAATGTATGTCACTGACAAAACTTTTGGCCATGACTGTACATGTAGATTGTGCTGTATTAAAATGAGTGAATTGAAAATCTACTCTCGTGAGTGTTTTTGTGGCAATAGGTTTTGATATATTTTTGACCACATGATTCAGGAAGTTATTGCTTTCACTTTGTATTCACTTAGTTTAGACAGCTAGGCTGCGTTCCACTCCACTTTTAGACACGCATTCGCAAACTTCCCTAAGCACTTCCCCTCGGGGGAATCCCCGCTGCCTTTTTGAAGTGCGTTCCACTTCGTGAAGTGGACGAGGGAAGTTTATATAGACAGACCCTCGACCCCTCGATTTTGACCGAGGGAGCGAGTCTGCTTCATATGCACACGTCAAGCCACTCCATAGACCACAATGCAACACGATTGTGATGTCATCGCAGATCGAGTTTAATTTATCCCCACCTCAAACAAACTCTATAAACTCTATAATATATAAATATTTTTTTTTTAACATTTATAACAGCCCAAACATACCTATATACATATAGAATGCTGCACCAAACAAATTCATAAGGGAAAAATTTAAACAATAAACCAACTCCATAGCTGATTCTAAGTGATCAAGGGCTTAGGACGTTCCAGTTCAGCCCATTCCAAGGGTTCTGCCGGAAGTGGGCACTCATGCAACGTAATCAATGACATACATCCGAGTAAACGAGACGGAAGGAAGTTTGCGAGTGAAGGGCATAAAAAAAAACAGACTGGAACGCAGCCCTAAATTGTCCCTTTTCTGCTGCAGATAGAGACTTTGAGCCACCTTGTGAGGAGGATGATGATGAAGAGACCATAGAAGTAGAGGAGCAACAAGAGGGAAATGATGCAGAGACACAGAGACGAGAGATAGAGTTACTAAGGGAGGAGGGCACTCTGCCTCTGGACCAGCTGCTCAGTACTTTAACTTTACCCCAGGTACAGCAGTCTCCCTGGATCAACTCCAAAACAGCTGGTTTTACGTAGTCATTATGTTACGGTCTGGACTCTCCAATTAATGTGGTGATTATGGTCCATCACTGTTCACATCCGCTTGTTACAGTCTGGCTTTTTTTTTTTTCTTTTTTACTTAATTTTAATTGCACAGGACGTTGAATCAGAAGAAGAAGCCTCAGATACTACATCATCTACGGTTGAAGAGGAAGACAAAGAATTTAGTGCCAATGAAGAAGATGGTTAGTAGAGTTTTATTTAGATAGACACTTAACTTGGGTATCCTATTGATTTGAATGGAAATATGCAACTTGTGTTACTTTATAATTATCTTCAGCGGAAGATGAAGAAGACACAATTGCGGCCCAGGAAGTTATTGAAGGAGATGGAGACCATGCAGAGGAACTTGATGACCTTGCTAGAGAGGGTAAATTAAATACTGAAATTCTTTTCAGGCATAGCAGTGTATTTTTATTTTTATTTTATTTTTAAATAAACAATTACTGTTCAGAGGTTTGGGGTCTGTAAGATTTATTATTGATGAATAATTTTTTTAGAATCTTTTGAATCATTATAAATGTCTTTACTGTCATTTATCAATTGAACATAAGTGTTAATTTCTTGGGGGGAAAAAACAAGACCCCAAACATTTGAACTGTATAATGAAGAGTGTTTAATTTAAGCAGTCATTTCCTGAGGTCATATTGTCACTTGAGGTTCCTTTGTTTCACAGGGGAAATGAGCATGGAAGATCTCTTAGAAAAGTACAGAGGAGCGTATGCCTCTGATGTTGAGGAGCCATCAGCCTCAGCGTCACCAGACTCCTCAGAAGAATCAGAGGGAACTGAGGAGGAGGCGGAGGAAGAGACGGAGGGAGAGGACAGTGCTGATGATAGTGGCTCCTCCTCAGGTGAGCTGAAGTTTATGATGATAGAGCCACTGAAACCTATGAGCTGTTGTATGAAGTGACCAAATGCCACACATTATCAACCTTTCTTACTGTGTTTTACTCAATATTCAGATTCCCAAGCGGCTGTAGACAGTGATGAAAAAAAGGAGGATGAGGATGTGCAGGAGAGTGATGATGAGGATGACAATGATGGAGGAGAGGGAATGGAAGTTCTGCTGAGAGAGGGAGACCATAGTCCTGCTGTACCAACATCTCCCCGACCTAAGAAAGAAATTAGCCACATTGCTGCTACTGCCGAGAGCCTTCAACCTAAGGGATATACACTGGCAACAACAAAGGTAGCAACACAAACCTTCAGAAAAACTGGCTGAAGAACACTTAGTTTCTGTTTATCCTTAACTGCACTTGTGTGGTTTCTTTTTAACACAAGGTCAAAACACCAATTCCATTCCTGCTTCATGGTACGTTGCGTGAGTACCAGCACATTGGACTGGACTGGTTGGTCACCATGAATGAGAAAAAACTCAATGGCATACTTGCAGATGAAATGGGGCTTGGCAAAACCATCCAGACCATCGCTTTGTTAGCTCATCTAGCATGTGTAAAGGGTAATAAGTCCACATAAGTACTCCTTTCCCTATGATGTGTGTTGAAAATATAGTGGATATAGTGCAGATGAACAAATATTTTCTTGTTTTTTTTCCTTTTATAGGTAACTGGGGTCCACATCTGATCATTGTGCCCACCAGTGTAATGCTCAACTGGGAGATGGAGTTGAAACGTTGGTGCCCAGGATTCAAAATCCTCACCTACTATGGTAGCCAGAAGGAGCGCAAACTCAAGAGACAAGTAATGAATGAAATAATAGTTCTTATTACAAATTAAGATATTTTAAATACACTTCCACAAAACTCTTTAAAACAATTATTGTGAATTTTAGCCTTTCAATCCTCATGATTTTATAATTGGTTTTCTCTCCTTTTTGTTTTTGTAAGGGCTGGACCAAACCCAATGCTTTCCATGTCTGCATCACCTCGTATAAGCTAGTACTGCAAGATCATCAGGCTTTTAGACGTAAGTCTTGGAGGTACCTCATTTTGGATGAAGCCCAGAACATCAAGAACTTTAAGTCCCAGCGCTGGCAAAGCCTGCTCAATTTCAACAGGTACTTGTATACATTCATTTCTTTGAAGGACCTGATCATTTATGAGTCCCATTCTGACTTTTGTTTCTTTACGTTTTATGTGGAAAAACTCATTTAATGATTAGGATGTAATGAGTTTATTTTATTCTTTCACTCATTTCTCTGTCTTCCATGCAGCCAGAGGCGACTGTTGCTCACTGGTACCCCTCTCCAAAACAGTCTAATGGAGCTGTGGTCTCTTATGCACTTCCTTATGCCGCACGTTTTTCAGTCCCATCGTGAGTTCAAGGAGTGGTTCTCAAACCCACTCACTGGGATGATTGAAGGGAGCCAGGAGTACAACGAGGGCTTGGTCAAACGGCTTCACAAGGTAGTACCGGTTTATGAATCATGTAGGAATTTTTATGTAATTTATTGCATTTATGGAAGCAGCACAAACATAGTTCCCATGTTTTTCTTATGATTTTTGCCTGTGTTTATTACAGGGACTGTAATATTATTACTGTAATATTACAGGGAAACATTTAGGCATTTAGCTTTACATAAGTTTCCTACATCTCTCTCTCTCTCTAGGTGCTAAGACCCTTTTTGCTTCGAAGAATCAAAGCAGATGTGGAGAAACAAATGCCAAAAAAGTATGAGCATGTTGTGCGCTGTCGACTCTCCAAAAGACAGCGTTTCCTCTATGATGACTTCATGGCCCAGGCCTCGTAAGTAACCAGGGCAAACAGACATGGGTGGAGTAAATAAAACAGAAAAGGCATTTTTCCTTTGTTGATGATAACTTCCAAACTCAGGCCTTGGATGATAATTGATTGACTAATTTATTCATATTTCAGGTGTTAGGTTACGTTTTTACTTACTGTCTTATTTTTTTTGCCCTGTACCATATACTCCCAGGACTCGAGAGACTTTAGCCAGCGGTCATTTCATGTCTGTGATCAACATCCTGATGCAGCTGCGGAAAGTGTGTAATCACCCCAACCTGTTTGATCCAAGGCCCATACAATCCCCCTTCATCACAAAGGCCGTAGTCTATTCTACTGCTTCACTGGTTCAGCGGGCTCTTGAGACCTCACCTTTTGAGGTAAATGATTGAAGACAGCATTTACTAAACCCTGACTGTCCTGTGTGCCTGTTTAGATATATCGGGGTGTTCAATCCTTGTCCTGGGGGGCCACTGTCCTGCTGTGTTTAGATACAGCCTACCCCCAACACGCATGAACGTTTCTAGTAATCATGAAGACAGTGGATATCCAAAATTTCCCTATACCCTTATATAGTGCTATAGTGAACATTATCGATTGCACTCATTCAATCCCACAATGCACCCCAAAAATGAGTGTATAACCAATGAACTAGCTTGCAGCTAGAGAACACCCATGCACTGTGAGTGTCAGTATTTGCTTACTCATTTTCATTCAGTCATTCAGTGGACTATATTGTTAATGAAAAATTATATATGGGGCAATTTCAGATACACCCTTCTATTAGCTGGTTCAGGTATTTCATTGGGATTGAAGTTAAACTTTCCAGTATTGTGGTGATCCAGGAGTAGGACACCCCTTATCATTAATTTTTTCCATCTAGGGATAGGGGGTGGGCAATATTCCTGAAATGTAAGTTTGGTGAAAAGCACTATACAGATAAACCTTTTCATCATTATTTGGGACACTTCCTGCTCTGTATTTGTTTTTTTGTTTTTCATCATTCCCACATGTAAATAAAGTGGTCCTCTCCACTGAGTGCATTAATGTTACAGTGACATACATGGTAAAGTGATATAAATGGTAAAATATCTATTGCTTGACACATTTTTACACATTTCTGTTTTCAGGAAGTTTCTAATGTTTATTCTTTTATTTATTTTTCTGGACCCTCAGTGAAGGTTAATACAAAAATGTCTGTTTTTTTTCAAAGCGCTGTGACTTGTCCTTGTTTGACCTGATTGGCCTGGAGCAGCGTGTGTCTAGATACCAGGCAGATGTTTTCCTGCCTCAGAGGAAAGTGACACATCAACTTATTCAGGAGATCATGGAGTCCCCTGATCCTCCTCCCAGACCGAAGCCTGTTCGCATGAAAGTCAACAGGTATGTTGTTCAAAATAGTCTCAAACACAGTTTTGACGTATGGTATATATGCTTGAGTTGATTGAAGATATTCAGAATTTGTCTTAAATTTTTGACATGTTCTTGTTTCTCTGCAGGATGCTTCAGCCTGTTCCTAAATCTGATGGGCGTTCATCAGCAAACAGCCCTCGTCCTAGCACCACAACGGTTCAGACTCCAAAGCCTCTAATTACAGAGGTCACCCCTTCCCAAGCTCCCTCCCAGCCAGCACCTCTAGGTCAGTTCAAGGGGCCAAGTCTAACATCCTAATCAGCAAGTGTGTCACTCATGTGATTGCAGGAAGAGAAAAACGTTTTATTCTCATTCCAGTTTGTCCTGTTACTCCTGTTGCTGCTCCAAGAACTCCAGTGGCTCCTAGCAACGTCCCTTCTGCACCTGCAGTCAGGCCGCCAGCCCCCCAGCCAGTAACTGTACGCCCCTCAGGACTGTCCAGCATCACAACTGTGTCCACTCCCCCTCAACCACCAAGCAACATTATGACTCAGAGGGTCCTTCTCAGCCCAGATATGCAGGCTCGTTTGCCATGTAAGTCCATTTTATCACACTTAATTTTTTCATAGCGATAAACAAGTTAAATTATTTTCTTTGATTTGTCAAAATGTACAGCCGGTGAAGTTGTGAGTATCGCTCAGCTGGCCTCCCTGGCTGGCCGACCAGTGTCGTCCTCTCAGGGCAGTAAACCAGTCACCTTCCAGCTACAGGGCAACAAGCTCACACTCTCTGGGACTCCTCTGAACCAGGTTCCTGTTCCTCAGCCACGACCCATCCAAGGTATCCATTGCCTTCCACATAAATAGATGAATAATCTGTGTGTGTAAATAATCCACTACCTGCTGTGGATAGGTTTCGCTTTTTTTTCCTGCACGCCTTCAGTCTTTCTTTGAGTGTTTGGTGTGGTCTATGGCCTAACACTTTCTTCTGTGGTTGTGCTTTTTAGGAAATGTAATGCATCTGGTTTCCAGTAGTGGGCAGCACCACCTTATTAGTCAGCCAGCTCAGGTGACAGTTCTTCACACAGTTAGTCAGTCAGGTAGCAGCTCAGCAAATCCCCACCCAACCAGCACAATCCCAACCTGCTCTGGACTAGCAGTACCTTTCACCGCTACTCAAGGTACTGGCGCTGTCCTTGAGTTCATCCTTGTTTGGGTACAGCCTGTATCCTGGGTACCACACTACCTGTTACTCAGCAGAGCATGTGCATGGGTATTCTGGCACAGGGTTTTTTGTTTTTTTTCCTAACTGCATGTGACCACTTATTCGAATGGTTTGTTGGCTACTAACTCAATAGGTCCTGTTGAATGAAGGTATTTGAAATAGATAAGTGCAAACACCACTGCACATTTTAAGTCAGATGTTGTAGAAGGCACATGAGGTTTGAGATGGTTTGGTTTTTATTTTATATAATTGTTCTTTATTTTACGATTGAGTGGATTAAGCAGTGTTCTCATTTCAGAATTTTTCCTTTTCTCATTTTCCATTTTATTCTGTTCCTTTAAGTCTAATGTATGCAGGTTACATTTGTGAAGTTGTAATTTTCCATATTTCACCAGAGTTAAGAGACTAAATTATTGCACTACTGTTTAAGATGTTTGGGGTCAGTTTTTATCTTTTGAAAGGAAAAAAAATTATTCAGCAAGAATGCACAAAATTGGTAAAGTGACTGTAAATACATTTATAATTTTCCAAAATATTTCCATTTCAAATAAATGCTTTTCTCTTGAACTTTCTATTTCATCAAGAAGGAAAGAAATGTATGTACATCAGCACAACTGTAATGTGCTGAAATGTAAGTAGCGCAACTGTTTTCAACATTGATAATAAAAAAAATCTTTCTTGAGCACCATATTGAGCAGATTAGAATGATTTCTGAAGAAAAATGACAAGACTGGAGTAATGAATGCTGAAAATTCAGCTTTGCCATCAAATAAATAAATAACATTTCAAATATAATTATTATATATAACAGTGTATATATAACAGTTATTTTAAAGATTAGTAATATTTTTTTTAATTTATTAAATGCAGCTTTTTTTTTGAGCATAAGAGACTTCTTTCAAAAACATTGTAAATAACAAAAATCTTACCGACCCCAACATTTGGACAGTAGTGTATTTAATAATGCCGGAAATTTAATTGATAGCTCTGCTACTGTAATCCATTGTCTGGTGCCCAGTCTAACTGAACTTTCTTTCCAGGTGAAATACTTGTGTAGTTTCTAAACTCTCCTTGTTTTTAATTGCAGTCCCAACACCCATGGTAAGTGGACCTGGAATTGTAAAGATTGTTGTACGCCAGGCACCAAGTAAAGAAGGAGGGTCAATCCCGACTCTGGCTGTGCCTCCTTCTCCTCGTCCTGCTCCTCCTCAATCGGTCACCCTTCACCCACATGGTACTTCAAGCCCTGTTCTTAGAGCACCCACTGTTTCACAGCCTCCACAACGGCCTCCGGTTTATGCTGCTCCACCTCGAACTGTTGCTTCCTCCCAGACTCCACCTACTCGTCCTGTATTGAGAGTAGTGCAGGGACCACCACCACCAGCCCCAGAACCAACAGGTAAGTTGAGCCCAGATGTGATTTTGAGAGTTTGTGACCGAAGTTCAAGCAAAATATTAAGAAAAAAGAATATCAAGTAGAACAATTAAGCAATTCAGTACTTTGTACTTTTCAGTAACAAAGGCAAAATCATCATCAGTACGTGAGGACAGTGGTAATGATATGATTACATTGCGCATGAGCACTCCTAAGCCTGCATCCTCATCTCAGAGCAGTGGGTCAACATCTCAGCGTCCCCGTGTTCAACCGCCACCTCCACCACGTTCCCCCTTCTACATGGTAATAAATGGAGAGTTAATCTTAAATTGATTTATTAATTCTTAAACTCAAAATGATGCATAACACTGTTTCCACTTTAAATCTCAGTTTAGTCTTCTGACAACCCACATCAGAGGGTGTAACACTTTGCAAATATAGATACCTCACTGGTAAACTGAAGCGCTCTTTTAACTTAACCAAACGCATTCTATATGAGATAAATCAGATATACATCAAATAAACACAATATTACAATGTACAATTGCACAAAAGGCTGCAAACGAACAGCGCGCATCTGAAGTGTCTCTGAAGGAAATAATGCATTATTTATCGGCTTTAAGATATCGGCCAAATTTTCTTATCAGGCCGATACCGATAACAGAAAAAATGAGCATTTATCGGCCGATACCGATATGGTGGCCGATATATCGTGCATCCCTACTCTTAACGCAAGCATCAGTAACTACATCATAATGCATTTAGGTCAGAGGAAATTGCATATTTGCACAGTATTTTAACGCTTATTTTTGGTATATAACTTTTGTGATCTATTAGTTGTTTGTCTGTATCTGTCCCATTCACATATTTGTTACTTTGGTTTTGACAGTCATGGCTTGCAGACTGCCGAAAGGCTCAGCGAGACAACCGAATCTCTCAAATCATGCGCATCAACGATCTGCACTGCAGTGCTAGCCCTGTGTATGGCCATGAGGTGCTGGACTTTCTAACGTTCCTCCCAGGCCCTTGTCCATCTCCACCACATCCTGTTATAAACAACTGGAGCTACTCAGGTTATAGCTCCTGCCTCACTGCTCAATCACACCATACCAGTAGCTTCCTGGAAAAGAGCCACGTCCTGAAGGAAGCCATCCACCACTCAGAGGAGAGGCTTCAACTTCTCTCTGAGATCATAGAAAGGTAAAGCTCCCAAACTTGCACTAAACTTGAATTTAGAATTAAATGTAAAAATTGCAGCTGTCAATAATAGTGCCACACTTAAATGCGTGCCCTCATTCCACAGGTTCACTTTTGTCATTCCTCCAGTGGAAGCAAAGCCTATCACCATGCACACTTGCCACCCACCTCCCTCCCTCAGACACCAGCAAGGCCATATCTCCTCTGTTCTATCTTCCCATCTCTCCCCACTTACACAAACGCTCCATCGCATCCAGTGTAACATGAGGACACATTTCCCTGACTTGAGGCTTATTCAGTATGATTGCGGTAAGTACTGTGATCCCAGTGCAGTGTGCATTTAAGGATTTCATTCTTATTAGATTTACCATGTTTATACATAATAAACATTTGTGTTGTACCAAAAAATATAAAATCATAAATAGAAGAGACCATTTAATTGGCTGTTTATCTGTGTGCAGGTAAGCTGCAGACACTCCACCTCCTGCTTAGAAAATTGAAGGCAGAAGGGCACAGAGTCCTCATTTTCACTCAGATGACACGTATGCTGGATATACTTGAGCAGTTCCTCAACTACCATGGGCACATTTACCTACGGTTGGATGGAAGTACACGTGTAGAACAGAGACAGGTAACTCTAGTACGCTAGACCAGTGTTTCCCAACCGGGGTGCCGTCTGTCAAGTGCAGGTGCAGTGTAAAAAAATCATTTTTAAAATATTTTTAAATTGCTAAAATGTTCAAAAAAAGCATCTATTATATAATATCCATTTCTGATGTCGCCAATAATTAGAGATGCCGAAAATTAGTTCACCGCTCAGGTTTCACTTTCACGTGGTGTGATGCTCTGTGTATTATCCCGCTCTATGCGTGTGTGCTCCGCTCAGTCGCTCCACTCGTATACCGTTCATGCGAATCGGAACAGCAAAGTCCACTAAAAAATTGAGGTGACCGGAAACATCGATGTAGTACAGTATTGTTTCTGTCTGCAATAGCCCTACTGTGTTGTAACATGATGTGGTATATGGGCAACTCTGGTAACGCTGCCCTCTCATTCATTGATCTGTGAGCCGCTATGTTATGCTCACATGTTCTGATAATAATAACTTTCTAGGACTAAGCATTATTTGGATAATTGGTTAAAAAAAAAAAAAATTGTCTCTTCATTAGAAATTAGCCTACTGATTGCCACCATTGATGGACAAATTTTTTTAATAATATAAAAAATATCTGTATGACATTATATTCTGCATTTCTTTCCTGTTGTACCGAATATCTATACTTTTCAAATTATCATATCGAAGTTAGAAATTTCCAAAGGGTGCCGCGACAAAAAAACGTTTTGGAAACACTGCTTTAGACACTCCAGTACTCTTAATAGTGTGTTTGTGATTTTCATATAAAATATGTGACATTATTGGAATGATTGTCTACCTTTCAGGCTCTGATGGAGCGCTTCAATGCAGACTGTCGCATATTCTGCTTCATCCTGTCCACCCGCAGTGGAGGTGTAGGTGTTAATCTGACTGGGGCAGATACAGTGGTGTTCTATGACAGTGATTGGAATCCAACCATGGATGCCCAAGCTCAGGACCGGTGCCACAGAATTGGACAGACAAGAGATGTTCACATCTATAGGTAACGGAAAAACTAAACACTTTTGTACATTTAGTAAATTTATTTTTTTAAACAAATGCTTACAATTTTTTAAACAATATACTGATATTGGAAGCACATTGACATTGAAAATATTTCTTTAGGCTAATCAGTGAACGCACAGTTGAAGAAAATATTTTGAAAAAAGCCAATCAAAAGAGGATGTTGGGAGACATGGCAATTGAAGGTGGAAACTTTACCACTACCTTTTTCAAGCAGGTATGGCTTAATTTTAATCTTTTTTTTTTTTCATTGTGAAATCCTAGCCTGGATTAAATTTTGGAAGGATTGATTCCCCCATTGTCTCGTTCCCACAGCAAACTATCAGGGAGTTGTTTGATATGTCAGAGGGAGAGAGGAAAGAGGCTGAATTGAGTGTGCCTCAGTCAGATGATGATGAGTCTGTAAATAAACAACAAACTACTATTTTGGAACAGGTAATTTTGAATATATAATTTTTTTTGTATTGCATATATTCATTTGTTTGCAAGAAATTTGTTTCATTTGTTACAAACCACTGAAAATGTTATTTCAATGTGTTCCTAATACTAGGCCCTGTGTCGTGCTGAGGATGAAGAGGATATAGTGGCTGCATCTCAAGCCAAGGCTGAGCAGGTGGCTGAGCTTGCAGAGTTTAATGAAAACATCCCTCTGGATGATGGTGACAGCAGAGACCAGGAAGAGGAGGAGCTCTCCAAGGCGGAGCAGGAAATCGCTGCTCTAGTTGAACAGGTAGCCATGATAGTTATTCCTTTTCTTTATAGAGTGTTTAAGTGCCCACATCCTTAGCTTCTTCACCACCACCACAAGAGCAGGATCAGGCCTCCTCTCCATTACAGATTAGTCCAGGTAGAGGGCACCACCCTTGTTCCCCAGCACACCATTCACCAGATATGCCTGTCCTACGGAACTTACCAGTACGCCGAAGGCTTGAGACAGAGTCTCGAATGGCTGCACAATTAGGAGAGCAATTTGTAGGACGAGGTAGAGGGGTGGATCGGAGATCTGCTTTCTCACCAAAGAAACCAGAAACAAATTCAGACAAGGATAGGGCTGCTCCAAGTGACTCTATGGCAATGAAGCGCAAGAGGGGCAGGCCACCTAAAACACCCCCACAGGCACTAGAGCTGCGAGAAGAGAAGACACCAGTAACCCAGAAAACCAGTCCTGAGCAGAGTCCCTCTCACTCACCAAAAAGGAAAAGGGGTCGTCCCCGTAAAGATTCCACCACAACTACAAGCTCATCCCCATCTTCTCCTTCTACATGTGCTCCTTCCTCCCAGGAGCCTAATTTGTCAAGGTCCAATGTTATGCCTGTGACTTTGCCTGCTGTCAGTAATACTTCACCAATAAGCTCTCCACTCAACCCCACTTCACCCTCAAATGCTGCTGAAGTATCATCTTCTAAACTAGATTCTGAAACGAATCAAAAAACTACATCTGATTTACTGTCTTCTATGCATAGAGACTCTCAAAATATGTCATCGTCTACATCAGAACTTGGTGTAGACTCGCATGGTGAAACTCACACCAATCTGAACCCCATAATTGCATGGATTGACTCTGACACCAGTACATTTGAAACTTCCCCACACAACACTTCACCAGCAACAATCTCTCAGACATGTACAGCTTCTTCCCCTACACTACATCCTCCAAGTCCTCTCAGAGAGCCTCCCACTTGTACTGTCTCCATCCACGAAGAGGAACTTGCCCATACACCTGTACTTTTTGAGACCAGTGAAATCACAGCATCTTCAGAGCCTTCAAATGTCTCCGCGGCTGCTGTAGAAACCAAGGAAGTTTCACTCACAGTTAATCAGCAAAAAGATAATTTGCAGTCCTCAAATACATTGACTCAAGTCACTTCACAGCCCTTACACAGAACCAGTACAACTGAAGACTCTCCACAAACCTCTATAGAACACATGTGCAGTATAGATGTATCTCTTACTCCCACTCATCAGTCATCCACCCAACCTTCTCCTTCACCTTCTTTGACTTCTGGGATTAAGCCAGAATCATCTTCATTTAAATTGGAGGCACAAGAACCTACTGTTACACTGACTGTGTCAACAGTCCAACAATCCACACCTAAGTCTGATCAAACTTCTGTTCCTCCCTCACAACCTCAAACTACAGACATCGAAGCAGCAACAGATTCAGCACTTGAATCTCACAAAATGTCTTCAACGTCTTCACAATCTCCATCTACCACTAATCAGATAACTAATTCTTTGTCCACATCCAATTATACAGATGCAGATTCTTCTCAGTCCAAAAACATGCCAGTGGAGACCATGGCTGATAATCAAGAAGGCCAACATTCACCCAAGGAGGAGGTTGTAACTGAGGAAGAGGTTGTGACTAGGGAGACCGAGAAAATGGAAATAGACAGTGTTGCTGAGGATGATGCAGGAGAAAAAGACGGCATCTTATCTCAGCTAAAAAGAAGGAAATCAGTTAGATTGCCAAAGGAACAGACACCTGGTGCCTCAGGAGTTGCCTCATCAAATTCAGATATCGAGTCCCATGATGACCCTAAGATTGATGGACCTGATAAGCCATCAGAAGAGGAGTCAAGAAAGTATAAAGAGACCAGAACTTCTGCCAAAAAACGAAGCATCAGTAGGCAAAGCAGCCAGGAGTCAGTCCGTTCCTCTTCCCCATCTTCTGTATCCTCCTGTGGAACAAGATCATCCCAGTCCAAAAAGGCTGGAGAGAATAGGAGGCCAGCTAAAAGGAAACAGGAAGATATAAAGTCTGAAAAAGAAAAAAATGAAGAAGAGTCTGACAAAAAGCACCAGTCCAACTCTTCCTCTTCTTCTTCAGACTCTGAGGAATTAAATAGCATAAAAAGATGTTTGACAAGATCGGCTCAAAAGAAGTTGGAGAAAGGTGGCGTGATTGCTAAAAATGAAGAGAGCAGTAAAAGACAACAGGGGAGTTCAGACAAGAAGGGTAAAACCACCAATACCACAGAAGGGGAGTCCAGTGGTGAAACGTGTTCAAGAGGAGCCCGGAAATCTGCAGGCCCACAACCCAATACTGTAGCCTCCCCTGAACCTGAGGTACTGGGCAAACGCTGCTCAGCCCTTAATGCTGCTGCCAAGCTCTTGGCAATGAGGGGAAGAGGACCAGACACACCCAGCCCCAGAAGTAAGACTGCTGCACAACAAAGCAAACTGCTGTCCTTTGAAAAAAGCAGTAAACCCAAGGGTAAAACAGGACAGGACTCTCCCAAGATGTCTAACAGTAAAGCAGGGAGTGGCAGGCAAACCCCCAATCAGTCAAATGAATCACCACAGTCCTCTTCTTCTGCTCGATCCACTCGGCAGCGACCGGGCAGCCTTGTTCCCCCCTTGGAAACAGAAAGGGTTAAAAAAGAAGAAAAGAAAAAGACATCTGATCAGAAGGAAGAAGGTGAAGATGAAAATAGAGAGACTAGGTCTTCAGGAGGCCATAGTGCCTGCAGTAGTATAAGTAGTGAAAGAGGAGCAGGCAGCAGTAGAAGTCGGAGTAGCAGCAGCAGCAACAGCAGCCAGCGCACCCACAGTTTGAGCTCACGGAGTACAGAGCCCACCCGCTCTCGTTCCAGGGCAGCATCCTCTGGTAGTGATACAGAGAGAGGCAAAAGTATTTGGCATAAGAGTGATGGAGGCAGAGGCAGGGAGAGCAGGAAAGAGAAGAGGTCCCAGAAGCAGGACAAACTTGAATTGAGTGCTGGATCCAGCGACGGGACCCCGAACAGGGTTCTCAGGAGTGTAGCTGCAATAGCAGCTGCTCAGGCACGTACTCCAGCTAGCAACACACGTTCTTCATCCACCCAAAACCGGCACTCCAAGACGTGATGGGTACAGAGAAATTATCTTTAGGTTTAGACAAGAACTATTTTTTGGGAGGAAAGTGGGTCAATTTCATTTAAAGGCCATGGTTTAGCTGTATGAGACAAGACGGCGGAAAAAGAGATCTTTTGCACATTGTGATTAGATCTGACCTCGCCTTTGCCCTCTCCGCTATCTTAAGTCAAGCCATTTATAATGTGGAAAGGGTCTATAGATTCAGGACAATGATGAAGATTTGGTCACCTATTTAAAAATATGTCCTAATAATTTGAGTTAAAACCTGGATAATATTTTACCCTACCACAAAGACTTTGGAGCTTCAAAGTAGCTGGGCAAGAGGCAAGATTTATTATTTGTTCACACTATGTACTGTAATCATAAAGACTGGAAGTACAATGTGAAGTATGTGTTAAAAGATTGGTCGCATAGATTGTACACTTTTTACAAAGTTTACGAGTGCTGCAAACGGTATTGATGAGGAAGAAATTAATTAATGCTACATTGAAATTATTTAGTGGGGATTGTACAATTGTAAAGTTTTTAGACTGTTGCATTCTGGAACATTTGTCAGCTGTTTTGACAATTTTTTTTCAAGTCAGTTGATAAATTATGAAAATATCTTTATCTTCCAGGGTATGAAGAAGAGGGCAGGTCTAAAAAATAAAAAATTTAAATAAAAAATGTGATTTTTTTTTTTCCCTCTGCACTATGCAGGAGTTACTATTTGCTTAGATCACTTGTCCTTTGTAATGTTTCAGTCCTTTACTTTAAAATTCTGCTGCTGCCTGCTTTTCCCCATTTGCACATCTGAAATGTCCCAGACATTGGAGGATTGCATTGTTGGTTAGGGTTTTCTTTTCTTCAGAACATCAACTTGTCAGTACATCTTTACTGTTACCTTACTGCATTTTGTAAGCTCTAAAGTAAGTGTATCTCTTGAGCTTGTGATGAATCTTGAAATTTGCTTGTCATTTTGCTTTATATCAGTACAGAAATGGGAGACAACATCTTGCTATTTTTCTTATCTCTTTCCCAAAGTGTTAGTCATTATGATCATCTTTACACATTAAATTGTATTCTCAAACACAGAATCTAAAGGAGTTTGATCAAATGAGAGTGCCTGTTGATCCACACAAGGATCCATGTTAACGTATAGAAGTTTGGTCATCTGTAGTGCTTTAAGTGTAATAAGCTCTTCCACCCTTCTTTGTAACAACACAATTTCTGTCTATGTGCAACCAAAACTGAAATCAGTTCTCCAGTGAAATTTGCTACTGTCCGCTATTTTTATTTCTGGAGTATTGGTCCTTTTTATGAATGGACCGATGCTGGGCCGGTAGGAAACACCTGAAAGAGCTTAAGAGAAATATCTTATTTTTTTGCTGAACATTGGCAGTCAAGTGAGTTGCAAGATAGCTTTCTTTGCCCTTTTTAGACAGAAAGATGTGTGGGGGGTATTTAGTAGAATATGGTGATGGTCTTATTTTTATTTGTCTCTATTCTAATTTGTTACATTCCTTATGTTCCCTTGTAATTCCACATTGTTTTACTTGAAAGATTGAAACAAAAATGTAAGTTGAATAAAAAGACCAAAAATACACTCTCCTTTGTTGATGTCATCGTACTTATTAAAATTGTAAATTACTTGAAGCACGAATTTCTTGATCTGTGTGTGTGTGGTAACAGTTCATCCGATGTCAACAAGACTCGAACAGGATTGATGATCCAAAAAAAAAAAAGATTGGCATTGCCAGAGTGAGAACCAATCAGAGATCAAGTATTTGCAAGCGTGAAGTGCGATTGGACGGCTCTGTTCCCCTGACCTCGCGCTCTCGTTTCGTTTTCAGAGCTCTCCAGTAGCCTCTCACTGCAGAACGCAAGATCCAGGGGGCGTGGTTGGATCCACATCTAGGTTTAGGGGTGGAGATGGGTGGGTTTAGGAATCTAGGTGGAGACGGGTAGGTTTAGGTATATGCAAGGTGGGAAGAGTTGGATCTGGATTTAACCACGCCCCCTAGATCATGTGTTCTGCAGCGAGCACTTGGCAACATTTGTAAGCATGGAAAAAAAAACATGAGCCATCTAAATCCGTGATCCTGCCCCCGCTGAAACCGCTGCATTTTGACAAGGACAGCAACAGGTGTGTACATTAATTCTACTGGACACATTGGGTTTATTTAATTAAGAATAATAGCCTGCTAGCTGGCTAACCTGCTTTTGAAACGCGTTCTGTTGCCATGGCAATTGTACAGGGAAAGTCGTGCACTGACTAGCAACGCAAGGGAATCAAGTGCGCCATTATTTTGGTTTAGCCAGGCTTGCAACATTGCAAAAAGGTAGTTCAAAACTATTTATGTGTTATGATTAGTTAGTTTTTCAAAGAATAAAACATGTCCTAAAATACCTTTAGATTGTTTTAAAGTGCCGTAAGACATTATAATTACAATGTGAGTGTTACTTCAGTGTCACAGGATATTTCAGGGTGGACTGGGAAAAAAAGTGTTTATTTGCTTTCTGCTTCTTGTAATGTTACAACATTAGTTATTCATCTGATAATTAAAATTTTTGATTTATCTATTTTGTTTGTAATGATTGAGGAATTTGATATAATTGAGAAACGTCCATAATTATGCAGCGTTTGAACGGATGTCCTTATTATATTAACTTCTCTTATTTCATCTTACTGTATTGTGCAGATCAGAGTGTAGTGTAACCAACAACTTCTTTATATATATGCTTGTTTGGACCACGAACCAACCACTTTTCTCATCACGTTTGACAAGTAGGGATTGTCTTTCTTCTCTGATTCTTGCTCACCTCCTGGCCTTCATTTTCATCTTCATGTATCAGGTTTAGGTCTCCTGTGTTTCTAATAGGTCACTTGATCTTGAGGTTTCAGCATGTCAGCTTGTAAGTATATCCAAGTTGGGCCACCCATCACAGAAGAGGCGAATTTGTTCCTTTTTGTCAGGTATTACGTGCCAGTACCCAGACGACAGCTCGCAGTGGGGAGGATGAAAGCCACTTCCACTGGACAGATAAAGCTAATCGGTGTGGACAGGAGAATTTTCCATCTTAGAGGGTTGTGATCTGACTGCCAGCACTGCTGCCCTCCTTCTGAAGAGATCACGGGTTACAGTAAGTTTTGAATCAGTTATAAAATGTTTACATTTTATTGGATAAATTGATGGTTTTAAATGTTACATTTGATCAGTGCTGTCAAAAAGTCATTTTGTGTTTTTCTTGTAATATTTAATGGATCACGGTGAGACGGTTCTCCTTGAAAATGTGTTTATTATTTATTTTTCCTTCTCACTGAACAAATGTTGCCTACCTAATAAGATCGCAAAGCCATTTCATTTGAGCTCAGGGCCAAGAGGTCAGGGTCAGGATGATCTAGTTCACTAGATCAGAATACAGTTACATGATGAAGGTCTCTCAGAAGTCTTACTCTCGTTCCCTCATCTAACTGACACTTGCAGAAGCACCTATAACATGAGCTGGACCTCAGTGATGTCACTGTGCAAGATGTGTGCCTATTCTTTTTAAATATCAAGTCAAGTCTATATCAATGGTGTCAAATTATTTAACCCATTGAAATGGTTAATTGCTTAAAATATGAGTTTGTTGAAGTATGAAGTGACAGCCTCAATCATGTCGTTGACAGATGTGGGGTACTCATCTATGGAGAGAAATGGGGACAGAAATATGATTCTAAACCTTAGCATTTTGCCCTTTACATGCGCACACTACAGATAGGCTTGATTAAGATTCACATTGGAGATGTGACGTCACGTAGTGATGTTAGGTCTTTCAGCTCATAAGTTCTTAAACAGGTGTTTCACTAAATCTAGAAGTTTCTCAGGCTTCGCTCAGTCTTCATCAAACTTTTATGTTTGTTTTCAGAATGGGGACACCAGCGGAGCACTCAGTGAGTGAAATGTGGAGGTGTGAGCCTGATCCAGGGGTGGAGGGAGAAGGCTGGGGAAGTGACACTCATGCAGAGCCCTGTAACACACCAATCCCTCTGCCTGCAGCGAACAAGAAGAAAAAGAGAAAAAAGAAGTAAGCCATTTCTGTTATGGTGTTCATATACACTGCCGTTCAAAAGTTAGTGGTTGGTCAAATTTTGAAAATATTTTTGAAATAAGTCTCTTATGCTCACCAAGGTTGCATTTATTTGATCAAAAATACAGTAAGAAACAGTAATAGTGTGGAAATAGTATTACAGTTTAAAATAATTGTTTTCTATTTCAGTATATTTAAAAATTAGTTCCTGTAAAGGCAAAGCTGAATTTTCAGCAACCATTTCTTCAGTCACATGATCCTTCAGAAATCATTGTAATATGCTGATTTGGTATTCAAGAAGCATTTCTTATTATTATCAATGTTGAAAACATTTATGTTATTATTTTAAAAAAAAACTGTGATACATTTTTTCAGGACTTTTTGATGAATAGAAAGTTAAAAACTGAATTAAATTTATTTGAAATTGAAATCTTTTAATAATTCATTGTAAATGTCTTTATTGTCATGTGACATGTGTCACCAAATGTCTTGATTTAATGCAATCTTGGTGAATAAAAGTATTAATTTATTTTTTTTTAAAAAGTACTAACCTGAAACTTTTGAACAGTAGTGTACATAAAATATTTCTGTAACAAGTCACAATACGTCACAAGTCACAACATTAGTTAATGCAATAAGTATCATGAACTAACAATGAACATTAACAGCATTTATTAATTTAAGTTAGTAAGAAACAGTAATAGTGTGGAAATAGTATTACAGTTTAAAATAATTGTTTTCTATTTCAGTATATTTAAAAATTAGTTCCTGTAAAGGCAAAGCTGAATTTTCAGCAACCATTTCTTCAGTCACATGATCCTTCAGAAATCATTGTAATATGCTGATTTGGTATTCAAGAAGCATTTCTTATTATTATCAATGTTGAAAACATTTATGTTATTATTTAAAAAAAAAAAACTGTGATACATTTTTTCAGGACTTTTTGATGAATAGAAAGTTAAAAACTGAATTAAATTTATGTGAAATTGAAATCTTTTAATAATTCATTGTAAATGTCTTTATTGTCATGTGACATGTGTCACCAAATGTCTTGATTTAATGCAATCTTGGTGAATAAAAGTATTAATTTCTTTAAAAAAAAAAAGTACTAACCTGAAACTTTTGAACAGTAGTGTACATAAAATATTTCTGTAACAAGTCACAATACGTCACAAGTCACAACATTAGTTAATGCAATAAGTATCATGAACTAACAATGAACATGAACAGCATTTATTAATTTAAGTTAATGTTCATTCCAACATGCATTTTTAACATTTCAAGTTGTATAAAGTAGCATTGGCAAAAGTATAATGACCACGACCCAGAATGAAGGAATTAATCAATCAATAATGTATAATGAACAAACATGAATTAACAATGAACAGTAGCAGTTTAATAAATTAATTTAGATTAATAAATACAGCAACAATGTTGATCATCTTTTAGATGAAGTAAGTTGAATTAGAAGGTACGGGACCTTTTAACAAAATTGTTGTTGTTAAACAAAAATTGTTGTGTAGTGGATAACAAGAAAGCTTTTCAACTCCCAAACAATGCACAGGTCTGTCTCTTTGTCCTCTTCCTCTTTTTCAGATGACTGTGGATAAATCTCACCAACTGCAAATATGAGAGTGGTAAGTTTTGCTCTGTGATTTTAACTCCAAACATTTTTGGATATAGTCTCAAAATTACCTGTAATATTAAAGCTTTGACACAACATTTGTGTTTATGCAATGGCATGTTTTTTTTTTTTTTTTTTAAGTGCGTCGGGCTGCTCGCAGATATGGGCTACGAGAGGCTGCAGAAGGAGAAGACTGGACCCTGTTTTGGACCGACTGCTCTGTCTCACTAGACAGGGTCATGGATATGAAACGTTACCAGGTGTTTGCTGCCAAAAATCATTCTTCTCTTATTTAGTGTCCTGTTCAGTTTCACTCGTTCCCCCTTGGTTTACAAAATGCCTAAATTTCCCCTTCACAGAAAATCAACCATTTTCCTGGCATGAATGAAATCTGCAGGAAGGACTTGCTCGCACGCAATATGAACCGTATGCTGAAACTCTTCCCGAAGGAGTACAACATCTTTCCTCGCACATGGTGCCTCCCCGCAGAGTGAGTCGATTCGAGTTCAATCATACAATCAAATCTTTTAATAAGCATAAAAAGAACGTTTTAATCTTTATGCCTTTTCCCCCACTCTCTCAATGTCCTTCAGTTATAGTGACTTCCAAGCCTACACCAGAGCCAAAAAGCACAAAACGTATATCTGCAAGCCAGACTCAGGTTGCCAAGGTCGTGGTATCTATCTTACCAAGTCCAACAAAGATATTCGGCCGGGAGAACACATGATTTGCCAGGTGTACATATCCAAGGTAACTCAATCTAATATCCAATTAGATTGAAAATAAATAAAAAAAATAGATAGAATAATTTTTTTTTTAATTTAATCTTTGTTTCTGCAGCCGTTCATCATTGATGGGTTCAAGTTTGACCTGCGCATTTATGTATTAGTGACCAGCTGTGACCCC